TATATGTGAGTCTAAAATTACCTTTTATTTTCTTTTTTGCTTGTTCTCCGAGACCCATACCCGTGTATTTAATTTCGGACGTTTTCCATGTCCTGTCTCGTTTTTATAGTAAGGGGTTGGTCATTTATCTTATTCTTCTGAGTAAAGATTTTTTTTTAAAAATGGTCACAGGACCTTACATATACAATCAATTAGTGAATAAATTATACAAAATAAGTGTCTCTTTACGTTATGCAAGCTGAAAATTTATCAATCAATCAATCAATCAATCATAAATTTATTCAACAATAAATCAATACTCCTACCGACAAATCAACCCATCGATATGAAGACCTTGTCACTTGATTTTATGCAAACATTTCATTAACCACCCATTTGACCAATCTCCAAATAGCATGTTTAACTTGGAAAAGATGGAATGATTTTCAGCAAAAATTGTTTACTATTCGTTCCGATGGTTGATATACGTTTGATTTTGTCAATTTTTCTTGGAGTTCGGTATTTTTGTTACCACATTTTTGTTAAATGATAACTATTTGCTAAATACATATTTTTATACATATTGGTAGCAATATTATAAAAGCTAATAATGTACCAAGTAAATCAATATTGAAATTAATGCTTTTGAGATGATCCCTCATTTAAAAGTCTCACGCTAGACTATCGTCTTTAAATAGTCAACGGTCAATATTTATCTAACATGTCTATTAATAACATTTGCATAATACAAAAAGGAACTTATAAATTTTATCCATCCGAAGATGTATCCTGGATTAACCATCATCAGAAAATGCACAAGCAAATATTTGAAAGCCACTAATGTTTAAGAACCAAAGCATGTGAAGAGAAGAGATATATGCCAAAATGGATCTAAAATGATATTCAAATCATTCTAAATTCAACTTTGCCTGATGAAGTTGGAACCTTAGTTTCTGAATAATTAAAAACTTCTAGATAAACAGACAATTTGAGACAAGTGCGTTATAAATCATGCGAGTACTGAAGAACAGACTACTGTGCTGACGATATCCTCAGGGGGTCTCTTTACATCAGATGTATTTTGAAAATTTTCACAATAGACGAAATTGTAGAAGTGAATATTCATTTTGAAATATAATTTACTTTTATAATGAAAAATGTCATCTAATTAACATTATGATTTTCAATCTGGTAGACATTTTTGATCTAAGAAACATCATACAATACATAAAAGAGTAATCATTGCTTTAAAAAAAATCAAAATAGTACATTTTTGGATTTTTTACATTCTTTGTTTTTTGGTTCAAATATTTATCGAGTACTTCTATATTTGTGATGTTAAAACAACTCCGACATCAATTTATTTAGTATTTTGATAAAAGTTATATCATTGCATTTAACAATTTTAAATTACCAAATTAAAGGACATTCAAACTCATAAGTATATGAATATGACATTTCTTAATTTTTCCGTGTATTTTGACCTTAATTATATCGATTGAATGGTAACGTGCTGTGGCATAATATGACAACGAAACTTCATTTGTTCTTTTATAAACGTTCCCAAAATTAACATTGATATCAAGCATCAAATTCTAAATCACATTTCATACATACTTCAAAATTATTCTCAAAAAATAAAGAAAATAATGATAACATTTTTTTCTGGATAATTTAAAATATGTTGACGTATAAATGCTTTTTGTTTGCTTTGTTGTTGTTTCATTGCCAGTATACCTCACATTTCCTGTAATATATACCCCTCGTTTTTGTTTTTTTATTTATATCTGCTTAATCGGATTATTAGGCCTGAACATCGGTTAACTACTGTAGCCTTAAAACTGGTGTATTTATTGTCTCAGTGAAGTACCATTTTAATCATAGATATAAATCTTTTTCCGTTCAAATAGACATAAGGTTAAATTTCTTTATTATTCGTGTGACATGTATAGCTTATAAAATTCAATACAATTAAGTAAGGTAAATAGATTATCTACCCAATGGTACTGCTTAAAAGTACAGCGTTGTATTTAATATGTAACTCAGTTCCCAAAATGTACTTTCACAACCACATTCCTTTCTAAATCATAAACACAATGTTGACCTCTGTACCCCTATTTTGATATTTTTACATATTATGTCTGTTTGGTTTGTTCACACATTGTTGTCAATATCATGGAATTTTATGCGACTGTCATACAAGAGAAAGGTTTAGCTAGCTATAAAACCAGGTTTAATCCACCATTTCTACATAAAGAAATGCCTGTACCAGGTCAGGAATATGACAGTTGATTTCCATTCGTTTAATGTGTTTGAGCTTTTGATTTTGCCGTTTGATAAGGGATTTTCCGTTTTGAATTTCCCTTGGAGTTCGGTATTTTTGTTATTTTACTTTTTTCATATATGTAAATTTAGAATTTCAAAACAAAATCTTAAAGTTTTGTTTTCGGTACATGGTATTGTCTTCTTTTCTTGGTCGTTTTGTAGCTGCTTAATTCTACGTCTTTTGAAACAAAAGTTACCTATTAAAATTATATTTGATTTTGCATATTGTATTTTGCTAAGTGAAGTGTATCAAATTCGACCTTTATATACTATTACACATTCAAAAATGGGGTGATATATAATATGCACATTTTTATATTTCTACTTTACAGATGAATGTATATCAATGAAGATGTGAGAGTTGTGTAGATGAGACAGCAAACATCAAACACAAATAGGAACAAGATATTAAGAGGTCAACAGTATTTTTGCGGTTTATGAAATATAAATAATCACTAAATTGATATCATTTAACATCATGTCAATATCATACTTCATATGCTACATGTTTGTATTGTTTTCTGTCTATTGTGTTGTTATTTATATGTTTTTCTTATATCACAATCCTTTTGTTTAGAGTTTAAACAATAAAATTCTTATTTTTATTCTTATGTGTAAATTTATATTTTTTCATTATTTTCATAGATGTAATTTAAAAGTTCAAACATATGAAACGGGAAAATAACTTTATCGATATATGTCGGATACGAAACAAATATCCAGTACAACATTTAGGCTGGGTTTTTTTTTCGGAGAAAAAGATTTATATCAGAATAGGAAATTAAAATGTGAACTCCTACGTAAATGCGATGAGTAAAATAAAGAGTTATGATTGCCACAGAGACAACCATCTATCAAAGACCAGATGAAAGATCTGTCGCTTGAAAATAAGCAGACTGATTAAATAACAAACGTTAATGTGAGATTATTAATGCAATTAAAGGATTTATATTATGTATTATGATTTAGTTTTATTTCATTTGTTATATCGATGCAGTGAAAGAGCAAATTAGATATATTTTTTCACAACATTTTTTCTCCAATAAACTTACAGTTATTTATGTAGTAAGTGTTTGAAAGCGTTTAAACAAAATTAATCAAAGTACAACTGCCAAAACAGTTTGAGGAATACCACACTAATTTTAAACGGAATTACACAATAATCAATTGGAGATTTGTTCAGAGCTCGCGAGGGCACATTCAATTTATTGCTTATTCTGAATTAATGACTAAATTGCAAATGCCTTATAATAGCTCAACTGTTAATTGGTTTGACTTTGACAGATTTTGAATATTTATAGAAAAAAAAGAAGTTATGGAAGGATATTCTAAATGGAGAACAAATAAATAAGGAATTAATTGTCTGCATTGTCTTTCAGTCTTGTTTTGTTGATCTTTTTTCGCGTTCGATGCAACATTTTATAAAGTATTAAAATATGCAATAGGATACAAAAAATAAATTCAAAAGAAGAACGAACACTGATAAAACATTTTATAAATCTTGTATTTATTTATATAAAGATATCATATCATATCATATAAACTATTTGAGATTAAAAGCTTTGTTTCTTCTGACAACTTCCTGATTTTACTGTTGATGAACGAATCGAGTGTATCACCAATCCCGTGGCCAGCACACCTATGTTGACATAGAATATCCTTTATACGGTCATTTTCTGTAAATTAACTATTTATAAAAATTTAAATAATACGAAAAACAAGCGGTTTTATACTGCATGGCATAGTTGACCTAAGTCATAAGCAACCTTTCGGAATATTTGTCGTTTATTCTTTGCTACTTAATTTTTTGTTTAAATTTGATTCTAACTATTTTGGTTCGAGATCAAAAGATGTCTTATTTGACGAAACACGTGTCAGGTATACCAAATTATAAGCTATGCATCCTTAATGAGTTATTACTCCTATGATTTATGATAGATATTAATATTTTTCTATATCATTTTTAGAAAATGTACACCGTTAAAATCTAGTACTTGTAAGTGTTGTAAAATATATTTTTTCTAGACCTCATATTGTTTAGAGAAATTTTATTAGCAGAATGAGAGGAGATTTCACCATATTCACTGTGAATAAACTGAATAATGGATTCAAAAAAGGAGAACTAAATACACAGAGCACATCGCGCCTATATTATCAAATGAATTATAAAATAACTGTCACTGAAATTTCTAATATATTACCAAAATCAATGTGAAGAATCGAAATAAGCGATTCAATATACAGACTGAAAAACTGTTATCATTTTATGAATATCTCATCAAAAACATATTTAGCTTTTTTGATACTCGACGACTTGAAACTTCCGCTTGTGAAGTATATACTCATTGTACATAAAAATCTTTATTTTTGGTAAAACCTTTTTAGATTAACGAGATTATGATTTCGCAATGTCGTAGCGACAGTAAAACTCCGGCTTTTGAATAACTTTCTTAAACACCAATGGAACTTATAACAGTGAAACTAAAGTAAAAATGACAATTTTATTTTAAAGTGATACCGAATGAAAAAACATTCCCATAACAGATAACAAATCTTCGAACAAGGAAGTACTTAATACTACCTAATTTATATCGATAGTACCATGAATTAGAACAATATACAGCTATATTCATAAAACTGATAATGATTTTTTCGTGATAACGAAAAACAATTGTGCTGTTTGAAAAGGATCAAACATGACGAACAGTTCTTATAATGTGGTCAAATATGTAATTTCAACTTCAAAAGAACTAAATGATGGTTATGATTTACCTGTATATGGACTTGCTAATGGCACGTTTTACAACCTCCACGTGCCAGCACTGGTTTGCATATTGTTAAGTTTAATTAGCGCTGTGTCGGTCATTAGTTACTCATTTTACCATCAGCGCATATCTACATTCTTTGAGTGGACAAGAAGTGAAAGATTCGCTGTTTACATGGCAATATGTGATGGCCTTTTTAACATTTCTCATTTTGCTGACCATCTGCATATTGTTCTTACGAAGAGTCTACCAACTCCAAAAGTTTTGTGTGCTTTCTATGGATATTTGTTGGCGGAATTCATAACAGCTCAGAACTTATTGGTCAGTAACGTTGCCATTAATGTTTTTGTATTGGTATATTTTCGGAAAAAGCTGAACTTTGGGTATAGAGATTACCGACTTCTTTGTATCATTTTTTTAGTTCCTGCATTAGTATTTACAGTGGTTGCTGCCTCAGGACAGCACGGTCCAAATGGAAGCTTGTAAGTATAAATACAAAACCTTTGTAAACTTTTGACGAAGTGTCAGGGTAAAAGTATTCGAATACTTCCAAGTCTAGCTTATTTAATAATTGTTGTTTGTTTGATTTCTAAAAGCAAATATTTCAAGCATATTCAGGGCGAGAACACATAAAACATAAACAATTTAATCGGTAAACTATGCAAATTAGATCGAACGAAATAACGATCATGTAATGTGAAATGTCACTAGAAAAAGAGGGTGTTTGATAGGGACAGAAATGATGCCTATCAAAAGTCAAGACCAGGACACCTACGGACATCACAAATAAATATTGGAGTAATTTTTAATGTCAACCGAACGTAGATACAGATTTGTACATCGAAGTCAGTCGGATGCAACCCTCATCCCAGTAAGTTTTTTTTTTGTTATACGACTTGAAGGATTTAGATAACCGTGTTTATATACCTTTGAGCCAAGTGTATTCTTATATTGAAAAACAAATTGTATGGTCTTACAAACTGTGTTGATGATGTTATCTAAGTATCGTAGTTCAAAATAGGGGTGGAAGATACCAAGGGAATATCCAAAAAGTCATAAGTCGATGAAAAACTGACAACGCCATGATAGAAAATTAAAATACGACGAATAAATGAACAAGTCTACAAACACTACGTAGAAAACTAAAAACAGAGTAACACCCAACCAAAACCGGGGATAAAATCAGGTTCTCTCGAAGAGTAGGCAGCTTCTGCTTCACATGTAATACCCATCGTGTCGTTTGTTAAAAGAATATTGATGTGAATTAAAACGATTTTTGTCTTTTTAGGCCAATTTAGATTGGTACCGTTAATGTTATGATTTATCATGACGTATTCAGATATGTCAGCATAACAACAACCGTAAACCATTTCAAAAGCGAAACATGCACCAACATTTTTTACTTTTTATCTTTTTAAAAGCTGACTTAAATAGTATACCGATGGTTATGTGTCAAAAACGCGTTTGTTGAATACAAATAAGCGGAAAATACCAAGGGGACATTCAAAACTTATAAGCAAAAACATCCTGACAATATTATTTACATGGCAGAAAACGGAAGACGACGAAAAGACAATAATACCACAAAACACTAAATAGAAAACTAGAGACAAAGCATAACGAAACCCATTAAGAACTTGATATGATCTTATGTCCTCCGGTAAGGTGAGCAGATCCTGCAAAACAAGTGGCAACCACCATGATGCTCATGCTCACTACAGATTTGGAGATAAGTCTTATTCGGTGATGTCTCAATCGAGAAAAAGAGAAAAGATTGTTGTTATAACAATTTTAACATATCTGTTATACTATTAATCTGTGACACAGATATTTGTTAACAGTCAACCAACTCGTTATTGAGCTTGTAAAACTTACGAAAAAAAATTTGAGCAACTTTCATCAATTACGCTCAAGACCAAATTAGAGAAGCAAATTTCACAAAACATTTTTTGAGTAATTTAAACACAACAGGCCTAATGCAGGTTTCACACTGTCCCAAAATTGACACCAGATGGCCACACGAATATGGATATGGGTTTTGATTTTCGCGCAAAGATGGTCCGGAACTTATTCACAAGCCTATCATCAGCCGAAGCAAGTACGATACATACAGAAATTCACACGATGGCACCCGAACCACACAAGAAGGCAACACAAAGATGTGAATTTTTATTACGATATTTATACGCAGGACACACGAAGGCAAAACGATGACTAAACGATGCGTTCGACTTTGGTCACGAAGCCATCACGAGACCTCCCGATGGTATAAAACATTCGGCCGACGGTGGGAAACTTAACTCAGTAACCTAATTTTTTGGTCCTTTATCTTTACTTTACAAGTTATTTGAATTTCTATATTAAAGTTGTTTTCAATCAAACTGAATTCTGAAGAATTGTGATTGAAGCTTTGAGAGTTACACGCTCCTCTGTTCTGTACAGCTACTAACGACTGTCCGCGAAAGATGCTCTGAGACTGGCGTATTATATGTCCACGTTACCATGACACATGTGAAACACTTGAGCTTCTAAAATTGGGTTGTCTTCGTCGACACCGTGGTCTCATCTCGATGTCATCGTACTATAAAATGATGCTTACACGACGGCATTGCAAGGGCTTCGCGTAGTCATGTTGACTTCCTAAGACAACACTTCTTGTTTCTTGTTTCTTGTTGACCTTACGAAGAGCAAAATGGACATACGAATTCAACACAAAAATGATCCTTCGTAAGGTCTTTTGGACATTTTTTGGCATGCCAAATATTTTGCCACCGCTCACGAAGTTGCTGCGGAAGCCTGAAAACTTAATCGGGGGTCTAACGATGGCCTAAGATGCTCTCAAGAATGGTCCGATGTTTTTACGATCACACCCAATATTAGACATTTCCTTTACCGTGTGTCCATCTGGTGTCGATTACGGGACAGTGTGACGCCTGCATTATATAACACCCACTACTTATCTATATTATCAATCTTTTGGGTTGTCTTTTAGGGATAAACCCAGGTTAAACTAAATAACTCTTTAAATGAGTAATGTTTTTGTAATAGAAAATGTCCACACTATCGGTTATGCATTCCTGTGAAACAAAGCTGAAATAATCTGTGTAACTGTGATGCTTATGATATAATAATGAAAGAGATTGATACATAAGTTATTTTTACGAACTTTGTTCCTTGACCTAGGTCTACTGTCTTCACTTTGTATCTGTTGTCATATTTGCCCAGTTTGTTTGATTGAAATTAAAGCAAATAGACGGTATTCCAATGTGTACTAATTGTGCACCACTGCTGACTTGTTTTTGTACTCATATATAGCAAGAATAATACTGAACCTTCTCAAAGACAAAAAAAAAAAAAAAAAAAAAAAAAAAAAAACATTTGCATTAGTTCTTAACTTCATTTTCATTTTATATTGATAATGTTCTGTCACTCAATTACACACAATATAATGTGTGCTTGAATTTCATATATCCCGATGAACTTGAGATTAAGGATACTACCGATATTAGAAAGTTAACTTCATAAATTGCCTTTACATATCTCAGTTAATATGTTATAATAGTTTATGTTTACACTACGGACGTCAGTAAAAGGGGTGTGCGCCTTACAAGAAAAGCTTCACACTATAGAGTTATGAGGAGGAACGACTGCAATAGACACATCATAAGTTTTACTGTCACCATCACAAATATATCGATCAATACGATGTATCGTGGGTTCAACTCACTAGCGACATTTTTTCGCGGTCTTTGATCTTTAAATAACAGTTGTCTGATTTGATTTTTACCAAGAGTGACATTTCTACCATTGAATAACTTTGACGTATTCCTATTTCAGCTGCTACTTTGATGGTGTAACTGGACAGATATCCAACATTATCTTTACAACAATATTACTTTGTTTCATTTTGATAAGCAATATAATTCTTTACGTCATGAGCTTGGTACGTATCTATAAAGAAGCACAAGCAATCAAAAAGAGTCTTGGAAAATCTTACAAAGCTTTGGAAGCATCACACAGAGCTGCCAAAACCATGTCTTTATTCGTTGCGGCATTTCTTGTACAGTGGTGGGCCATGGCGATGTATGGTATTTGGCAGTGGATTACGGATGTCCCGCAACTTTTGTTTAATTTCGTAACAACATTTTCAAATGTTGGTGGTATACTTAATGGAATAGTATTTATTATTATTATGAGAAGGAAACGTGTTGAGCTGGGCACTTAAAAAAAGCAGGACATCAAGGAATTGGCAATTAAGCATGCAGTCATAATGCAACAATTAAGTAATCAATTGTAGACCCGTCTTAACTTTCAAGATAATTAATACGTGAATAATGAAGTTTTGAAATCATATTTTTTTTTATCATATATTGCAGTAATTAAAATCTGGGATAGTATACTATTTATATAGCATGAGTCCATGTATAAACAGACTTATAAGGTAGCGAAAGCAATCGATATCTCATTAACTCCAAACTGGGTGAGATCACGTGTGTCGGCAAAGAAAGTCTTTTATAATGTGCATACGTCGGTATGGCTATTTGTTGCAAACTGTCGAGTTATTGTTCATATGTACGTCCATTGGTCTTTCGTTGATAATTGTCTCATTGTGAGTCATACTACATATCATTGTTTTACATGCATCACTCATCATACGATTTTAAAAGCAACATAGGGTACCAAAATGTTACAAATAGTGAAATTTGAAATAAACTTCTATCCCAATTAACTGTTTTAATACCAATTCCTTAATTTAAAGATACGACTGGTCATCATCTGCTGTTACAAACCATTTTGAATGAATGGCCCTTCTGAACACATCTATAAAAAAAGTATAAAGATACAAAGGGTCAATAAAAAAAAATACCAAGCCAAAGAATTTTAAAACAATATCATAACAAAAAGAAAAAAAAATACCAATAGAAAAACAATAGTCTACAAAACAGTTAACAGAATAACTTAAGATTATAGACAAAAACAACCATAAGTCGGTTTTAAATTAGTAAATCTAGAGGAATGAGCATATTTCTCCAATTATAGCCTTGAATATAACTTAGAATGAACAAGGAATGTAAATTTGTGGAAATTGCATGAAATTCGTTCTGGGTTTGTATTGGGAACGACGCCAGGATACGGAACACATGCATAAATCCTTCATTATACTTTACATTTTTGAATGGGTTTTATGTTGCTAAGTCTTTGCTTTTGTTTTGTAGACTATTATCCTGATTAAATGTCGGTTTGTTGTTTATCTTTTTTGCCATGATATTGCCGCTTTTTCCTACGACTTATAATTTTTAATGTCCCTTTTGTATCTTCTACATAAATAAGAAGATGTGGTATGAGTGCCAATGAGACAACTCTCCATCCAAGTCACAATGTATAAAAAGTTAACAATTTTAGGTCAAAGTACGGCCTTCAACATGGAGCATTGGCTCACACCGAACAGCAAGCTATAAAGGTCCCCAAAATGACTAGTGTAAAACAATTTGAACAGAAAAACCAACGGTCTAATCTATATAAAAAACGAGAAACGAGAAACACCAATGAACCACACCAACAAACGACAACCACTGAACAACAGGTTCCTGACTTAGGACAAGTGCATAAAAATGCAGCGGGTTTAAACGTTTTAACAGGAGCCTACCTTCGCCCTAACCTGAGACAGTAGTGTAACATTACAGCATAAAAATACACACTATAAAATATCAAATGGCTTAACTCGATCAAATGGCTTAACTCGATCAAAAGGACGTTTAAACAAAAACAATTAAACATACACTGAACGAATAATTTGATCTATGACACAATATAAATACAATATTAAAACCTAGCTCTTATTTTTATCTAGAATCTAATTTTTAAAAAGAATCTCGTATACTTTGTCAAGGACGAGATAGAACTTTTCGAAATATTGTTGTATCATTTTGGGACAAATGATTTTCTTTGAATATCTTATTAAAATCACGTGTATTCTTTGCTTTATATTCTTAATGTTAATGTTTTAACAAGTTTTTATCGTCCATTATTGATTAACAGAAAAACACGTGATATAGCTTTCAAAACATATGTCAAATGATAACGAACAACAGAAACCTAAAATGAAATGAAATGCGGTATGATTGCCAAAGTGGCAAACATCCAATAAAGACCAGAAGATAAATATTCTAATAGTTCATGTAATACTTTAACCAGCAGTTAACTTTCGAAGTTAGATACAACCTGTCAGTTCCACACTCTCATGTAAAAATAATTAATTAACTTTTAAGATTTTTAAACGATTATGGTAAAATTCTGTGATTCAGGAAAAAAACCATCAATTTCGACATAATTACTTAGGAACATAATCAAGATAAGTTTAACTTACAATGGGGGTGTAAATAAGATGATGACCGTAAGCCAAACGTCGTACAAACACACACTCTTCACAGCCTATAAAAATGTCAGATATAGTTACTGACATACATAACAAAAAACTCATCAAAGATACCAGGCTTAGTCCTGAAAACATAACCTGGCTATTGCCACAAGAACATGTGCAACAGTCGGCCATAAAAATATTTTAACGCACGTTTATACTTTAATACCAAACGTCATAAAACAGACATACCGAATCCTCATTCATAGTTATTGTGGTGAAAAGCTCATTCTGAAAACAGTCCACTGGTGCGTGAAATTTGCATTCAAGTTAGGCGACAATGACTATTTGACAAGATATCATAAACAACATCTCTACATTTTGATAACCTATGTTAATCTTGGGATAGAAGGTCATTTTCCAAATCACAAAGCAACTGCGCTGCAATGAAATCAAACGTAAGTCTTGCCTACAGTAAAGCAAAGTCGAAGGCGAGACAAAGATTCAATAACAAATACTATCGGAACAACTGAATACCAATCGTCATATTTCTGAGTCGGTACATGCTTTTTGCAGAAAAAATTGTATGATAAGACATATTTTACGGTCACTAGCATATCACATGCTTGATTACAGTTCCTTAAAAAGTCCCTCTTATGTAAGCGTTCGAAATAAAAAGAAAACTCCGACAAAAATTTCAAAAAAGTCAGTTTTGCCCACGCTAGTCAGGAGAAGTATTATTCATGATTAAACAAATAATTTTGCTGTATTCATTGAGGGAACAAAGCTAAGAAAAATCGGGCAGCCAATCTCTTCCCTTTCCCTGCAAACGTAAACAACAAATTAAAAACACGAATGTTTCCTGTGTGAATTTTTATTTAATAAAGCTATGTAGATTTAAAGTATAAATTATAATTGCGTAAAACGTAGTGTGGATTTCTGAAAAAATTAGTCAAGGTTAAATGTGTACAACATGAAAATGATCACAGTGTCATTTGTTGTTGTTGTTTATGGAAATAACCGAGCAGTCCTTTAGAAACTGTATTGCTGCAACGACATTATTTTTAAATGTCAGATGTTAAAGGAGTCTAAGGATGGATATCCACCAATCACTTGTCAGGATATTTTTAAAAACTACGTCTTGAGAAGACAACCAAAAACTATATATAAGCTTTTCCCCCGTATTTGTACCGACATGTTAATATAGGAACATAACTTATAAGCGTTTTATCACAACAAAAGTTTTACATTACAATAATGAATACAAGTAGTCTTGGAGAGGAAACAACCACTTATGAAAACAGAATACAGATGAAAGATGGTTATGATTTACCAGTGTACGGAATCGCCGAAGGTACCTTTTACAAACTTCATGTACCAGCAATGGCATGCATTTGTATAAGTTTTATATGCGCAATGTCAGTTATTTTTTATTCATTCTATCATCAAAATTGCTCTAAATTTTTCGAATGGTCAAAAAGTGAAAGATTTGTGGTTTACATGGCGCTCTGTGACGCTCTTTTTAATGTGTCGCATTTTAGTGACCATCTTCACATTGTTGTAACAAAATCGTTCCCAACACCGAAAGGACTATGCGCTTTCTATGGATTTATGCTTGCTGAGTTTATAACAGCTCAAAGTTTGATGGTCAATATCGTTGCTATCAATGTTTTTGTCTTAATTTACTTTCGAAAACATTTGTATTTTGGAAGATGGGATTATCGGCTGTTGGTTTATATTTTTGGCGTCCCTGCAGTCGGTGGCATCATCGCTGGAACGTTGGACCAGTTTGGTCCAAGTGGAGCGTTGTAAATAGATAACATTATTAATTGATTAAACAGCTTTATTTAGATTGAATACTTGACAACATTGTTTAGAATTAAGCAGATGATTATTATTTAAATACGGTTGACAACTTCCTAAAATTTACATACACATTTAGTATTCATGCCTATTTTCGGTTCTGGTTCCATTTTTCTGGACGCCTACTCGTTACTCTTTAATCTAGAATACCCAAACATTAAATAAAAAAAAACAATTGAAAGAAAGCAGAAAGAAATCCATACTAGCAATGATTCAATTCAAGTTTGTAATTAAGCTGTCAATTGATTTATTTTATCATTATTTTTCCTACTTTATTGATGAGTTCAAATATAAAAAAATTCAATAAAGAAAATTAAATTTTCTAAAACATTTAGAAGTACAAAATTTAACTCTTGCCATTAAAAAAAATATACTTTGATAAAAAATAATTAATTACGATTTATGTCTTCCGTAAGTAGAAATCTCGATAAAAGTGTTCTTAATACTAAGAGACATTTAGCATTACTTCACATTTTACATAAAGCATAACATCATATGACCGTTTGTCAAATCCACGTTTTTAGCTGATCATAGCAGTTTTTTGTTTAGTAAATACCAAATGTCGACTAAATTGCTTACGCACACAAGTTTTAGGATGATTTACTTTTAAGTAAATCGTACTTAATATTTCCATGCAAAAAGTAAAATAACACAAACTCCAAGGAAAATTCAAAAGTGATACATCCTGTATGTATAAAAGGCAGTTTGATTTTTTTTTTATGAAATAACGTATTAATAAGTCCAATGATTTGCACACTGTCAGCAATAAACACCATCATCCCGCCATAAACTGGATATTACGATAGCTAGTTCTTACTGTTAATCGTAAGTTTTCGAAAATCAGATATACATAACATAGATATACATAAACGGAGATTTATCCGTTTTCATACTTGTGAAAATAAAAGCACAATTATTTATTTTTCAGCTGCATGTTTGATGCTATAAAAGGGAAAACTACATACATATTCTTCACAACTGTACCGTTACTTTTAATCTTAGTTATAGATATTGGTTTGTACACTTTAAGCTGGGGTCGAATTTATCGAGAGACGCATGAAATGGAGGATTCTCTCGGGAAATCCTCAAGAGCGTTACAAGCTTCGCACAAGGCTGCAAAGACTATGTCTCTTTTTGTAACAGCTTTCTTTATACAATGGTGGGCTTTGGCTGTGTTTGGGGTATGCCAGTTGATCGGAAATACTGCCACTGTTACTTAGTTTTGTGACGACTTTCTCAAATATCGGAGGTTTGCTAAATGGAATTGTTTCATTTTTATTGTTAAAAGAAAAAGCGAGAAAGTGGGTACTAATGGTTCGCTCAAATCAGGATCTGGAGGAACTGGAAGTACCCCGATCCATTCAATTAGTCATTCAACACAGGCGATAAAAAATAGTGAAGTCTGAAAAATAGTGAAAAGATGAAAGAGTTAACGAAAAGTTTTGAAGTTAACACTTTTGAATAGATTCATGATTCATATGTTTTAAACAAACTATTTTATAACCTATGATTTATATATAAGTTAAATGATATGACCATCTTTTACTATAACTTGAAGTCTACAGCTGAAGTATTATTTTAAAACGATAATGAAAAACAGCACTTTATCTACAAACATATAATTAAGTGCTAAACAGTAATCTTGGATTTTTTAAGGAATGAGTGTTTTTCTAAATGCTTAAAGAATGTAGATAGAGGTTCAATTTGAGAATATTCCTTTGATTAACTTTACTAGGAGTAGATTAGCTGACCTCTCGGAATTTTGGGTCCTCCATGCCTTTCAACTTCGTACTTTATTTGGATTTAAAACAAATTTTATTCGAGCGTCACTGATGAGTCTTTGAAGACGAAACGCGCGTCTGGCGTATAAAATTGTAATCCTGGAATCTATAAGGAGTTTTTTTTTTTTTCAGTTTGTTCTTGTATTGTTCATTCAAATCCCTTGCCAAGGATAGATGATCTGTTGAGCGTTTACTACATGTTAAATCAAACCGCTTTTTGCGTGTACTTGTCCAAAGACAGGGCTTGTAGTTCAGTGGTTGCCGTTGGTTGCTTTCTGACAGATTTATTTTTCGTTAATTGTTTTGTCATAAATCAAGCGCGGTGACCTACAGTTGATCACCATCTACGTCATTTTGACTCTTGTTGCATAATTGTCTCATTGGTAATCATACTGCATCACCTTGTTTTTAAATCTAGATAACCAGAGTTTAGATATATTAATTTTAAGAGTCACAAAGTCACGTGATCTCAATAGTTAAATACGATATACTACAAGTTAGAGTTTGATTATAAGAAATCTTTGATACAATCAAGGTATAAACTTGACCGTAAAAAAGTTTCAAAGTTCTGCTCTGTTTTTTTAGTTATTAAAATAAAATTTCCGTATTCAAAATTAATCTTTTTCAAGATATAACTAACAAATAGTAAGTTTGTAAGGTCATATGAAATGATTTGGATTATATTTCGAAATGTCATCTACTTGAAGGATTTCTTCCGGGTTATTACATAAGTTTATTTTTCAAAACACAAACAAAAGATTTAATTCAAAAGCATTTATAACAAAAGCGCAATAGTTTGAAGGACAATATTATAATAGTGGAAACCAAACAAAAGAACATCCTATTGTAAACAATGGTGTAAACGAGAGAAATCTGACAAATGTCACTTGATTCCTATTTGAATAGATGTTTAAATATTATTGATATTCGCATATTACATTTCGAAAATAGTTTAGAAATGAATAAAAGAATAAGTAATACGCCCATTTTTTTGAATAAATACAAGTTCAAATACTCGCAAAGCGTTTTGTGTTTGTACCGGCCGACAAAGCAACCAACAATGTGGTGGTGGTATGAGCGTAAATACTACACGGAAGTCCTTAGGAATGAAATTATACATTCAACTACATTCAAGGCCGTACCCTCCACAGGGAGTAAATAGTAAATAATCATGGCACAACCACAGCTCAGCTTAAGGCCTCTTCTGAACATTTGAAGGTTCCCACTATGTATTGGTTACCTAAACTACACACAAAAAAAAACTATAAAATGTCGTTTCATCTCGACCTCTAGTAAGTGTCCTACTACTAGAATTCACTACTTTTAACGAGTTCCTTAAAGAACTGATAAATAATTTCTGTGATAAAACATGTGAAAAGAGTGGAATTTACCATTTTTGGAGTGTAAAAAATTCTTTGGATGTTTTAGATAAATGACGTGATTTTGATTCGGTTGACAGTTTTGACTTTTCCACTCTTTACACTACAATTCTAAACAATCTTATCAAACAAAAGTTTTTCTATTCAATTAAATGGTTGTTCGATAGATCTACTTGCAAATTTATTTGCCGCAACTCATATAAAGCCTTTTACTCAAACGAGAAAGGTAAATATGCTTGATATACTGGAGATGTGATGAGATGATTAAAGCCATAAATTTTCTCCTTGACAACATTTATGTACTTTTCGACAATAAAGTTTATCGGCAAATTGTTGGTATTCCTATGGGCACCAATTGAGCCCTTTTAATAGCAGACTTGTTCCTGTACTGTTATGAATCACAGTTCATGGCCAAACTCAGTAAAGACCTGTCTAAATTCCATTTAATTGATAAATTCAACAACCGTTAAGAATTTAATAGAAAAACAAAGGATATGGGGGTATCCATCCATGACACAAAATCAGTACATGCACAGCAAAAAACACACAATAATAGCATATAATAACTTTGATCCGATTTTCAATTTCCTACGAGTTTATTTCGATTAAATGTTCATGCATATTTTCGGCAATGCATGTTTCCCATTTTACTTAATGCATTTTCTCAAACAAGCAAAAAATTTAATTCATTGAAAAAACGAAGCAAAGCATAAAGATATCCATACTTACAATGATTAACATTTATCTTATAGAGTTTTTTGTTTGAGTTGCTTACATCATTTTGTTTCTTTTCTACTTATCTTTTATCCTTTTCAAAGTCGAGTGCATATAACAAATTTATCAATAAGATAGGTAGATTTAAAAATATCAATTAATCTGTTGAAAGTTCATGGCTTACGATTTATGTCTTGAATACGAATCAATCTCGCACGATATATATTTTTTCACACCAGTCTTTCATAAAACATAATATCACGTGACCGTTTGCTAAATCATAAAGCATGCTGTTACCAAAACTTGTCAATTTTTTTCAGCAAATACCAAAAAATGTCAAAATTGCTTACAATCACAAAACGTCTTGCATTCAAAAGTTCGTCATTTGTTCAAAATATTATTACGATTATTTAGTTAAACAACATTCGTGTACTATAATATTATGCTGAATATGGGCTCTTGGTTCCAAAAAATGATCATTTAACAGCACATATAACGATTGATACATCCTCACTTCGAGAATATTTAAACGATATTTGAAATACTAAGCGTATTATAAAAACCATATGGATTAATCCAATAATTTGCAAAGTGGCAGCTATCAACACTTTGCTTGCATTCGAGAAAATCCTTGACCCTCAACTTTTTTACTCTAACCGTTTGGTAAAGTATAAAACAGTTTAACAAAATTGTGTTTGTTAAACTCTTTTCTAAAGTACTTAATCAAAAATGCCTTCCTCCATAAACTAGCTTGTAAAATATCAAGTTTATTCACGAAAAGCGATGATTTTAAATAAGTTTAATTATTTATTTATTTTAATTATTAATATATGATAAATGTACATGAAATAAGTTGTATTCATATCCAAATTTGTTAAAACTCTTTATTTTCCAGCTTCACTTTAGATTTATTGAAAAGAGATTCATGTATGACATCGAATCATCGCGGATATACTATATTTTTTTTAAGAGAGTATATTTCAAAGCAGGAAAAAAAATTATAACAAGGATATATCTTTAATGGACATTTGAAGATTTCTTGTTTAATTAGTTATTTGCATTGTAACGACTGCTTTAATTTGTATCCGTTTTACTAGTTTTCTTTGATAAGCTCAATGTGCATGTTAACACACTTGTTTCTTTGTTTGCTACAGGTAAGTTACGCCGCGAATCAGAATATTCGCATTTATAAACCTAATCGATCTTTTTAAAATTTATACCTTACGTCTTTCTGCAGTTCATAATAGAGTGATTTTCAGAGCTCCTAAAAGATTTATGTGCAACATATACAGGCTGTACCATAATCAGGCATGGGGCGAATTACATTGCAATGTAATGCATTACATTACAATTACTTTGACAAAACCATGCATTATATTACAATTACCATAACATGAATTTATCAAAGTAATGCATTACATCACAATTACTTTTGCAAAGTAATGCATTGAATTACACATTACATTTGTAAATTTTATTATCAAGTGAAAAGAAAATTCAAACATTTGAAAAACAATTAAAGTCACAAAGGCATATTCAGTAACTGTTCCATGCATTGAATATAAGTATATATGTAAAAAGTCTATTCAATATGACTATTGCATTTCAGCATCATTAGGGTTTCAAATGTGTCATCCTTCATTCGCATTCTATCAGGCCTGAATACTTTACCGACTATACTGAACAGACGTTCAACCGGTGCTGAGGAGGCCGGATCAGACAAGTACTTCAATGCTAATTTAGAAATCATGGATATTTAGTGTCATTGTCTTTCCAATACTGTAGAGGATTGGCATTAGAGTCATCACAATCTGTTTCCAAATAACTGTCAACACAATGAGTAGAGCCTGAAACATGCCTTTTTTTCTTAGGAGTGCTTTTGGGTAGAAAGCTAAAAAAAATCATCTGTTTTTCCCTTTTTAGCAGGTGGGGAAATAATATCATCATCATCATCATCATCTGATTTCAAAGACTCAACTGAAGACACTTTCTTTTTCAAACTCGAAATAAGAGCCTCTACATTTTCAGATTTACTCCACAATAATTTAAATCTGGTATCAAGCATTGATGCAGTTTTATAAACCTCATCATCCTCATACTGAGATAACCTTTTCGAAAGTGAGGCCATTAGAGCAGATATAAGTTTATTGCTGTAGTCACACTTAACAGATTGTAAATGTGTTTTCAGACCTAGTGTCACTGGTATCACCATACTGCCACTGACATTTTTTTCTCTCTGTACAAGAAGAATTGCATCTTCAAAAGGTTTTAAAATTTTGCAAATTTCAATGAGCACCTTTCTGTCATATGCAGTAATATTTGCACAATCTAATTTATCAAGTTTTTCTTCAGGAATTTCTAAAATCGAGCGAATCATATGCATTTGGCTGTTCCATCTAGTAGCATTAGATGCTTGTAATCTCTTTTCATCTTCAAGAAATTCAGATGCAAATATTGACTTTCGAACATGGGAAACAATCTTAGAAACCTTAGCAATAACCTTTTGAATGCCTTGACCACACTCCTCAAAAGCATCCTTTATAACCAACTGCAAACTGTGTGCATAACACCGTTTATGCTGAGGAAAAGGATTTTCTATCTCTATTGTTCCCTGTTCAAAATCACCATCTAAATTATCCTCATTGAGAGAATTTTGATCATCAGGTTCAGTATATCCAGGTACTGAGAAATTAAAGGCCTTAACCATGTTCGAAGCATTGTCACTGATCTCGCAGAAAATCTTATCATTAATATCAAAAGATGTTATACACTCTTCATACTCATGTAAGATATTCTCAGCAGTGTGTCTACCTTTGAACCGTTTACAAGCAATCATTGCAGATTTCATTTCCCAGTTTAATACATAATGAGCTGTTATGCCAAGAAATCCTTTCATTGACCTGTTAGACCATAGGTCAACAGTGAGACAGATGTGACCAGCTTTTTTAAGATTGTCGTGCAATAATTGACGTACTTCCTTGTCTTTAGTATGAATAAGTTTAGACGAGAGATGTTTTCTGCTTGGAAGGTTAAATTTTGGGTCAAGTTTTTCAACAAAGTTCCTAAAGCTTTGGCTTTCAACTGTAGCAAACTGAAGTAAATCACCGGCAATAAACTGAATTAATGCATCTGTAGCCTCTTTTTGCTTAGGATCATTTATATGATATTTCTGATTTCCAGTCTGTTTAACAAAACCTATCAAAGTTGATTGCTCTTCTGTCTTTGGTTTTAAGTTATCAATGTATACATCTCTGTGTTTTCTCTAAATAGAAATTACAGAGATGTAGTTTAATACATATTTTAACTTAATGTTAACTTTTCGTTTATAAAAATACATTTGTTTTTGTTTTTGTTTTTTAATTTCAATCAAAATATTTACCAATCTTTCCTAATTATGTAATAAACATAGAGCTTAATTTATGACAAATGGAGAAAAGATTGATTGTAAAACAAACAAATTAGTGTTTTATGGCAATGTTCAATTATCTGTTAATTAATCAAGACGAGATATTCATTCATCTTTTGACAACAATGGAAAACTTTTAAAGTATAGCTTTTCATATATAATTTTTGTTTATGCAGGAAAATGCTGGAAATAGAATGAAATAAAAAGACATTAAAAAAGATAACTCAGTCTATCTGATATACAGTGTTGTGTTATTCTTTTAAAATTGTAATTTGGACATTCTAGTATTTATACAAATTTTATTTTTATTTTTTATTTATATATTTGTGAAATATTTCTTACATATTAATACAATAATAATCCATAATTACACATACCGAAGTCGTAATCATTGCATGTCAAAAATATTTTTTTAACATCTTCTGAGTTAAGGATGTTCGCTACTCTGTTTCAAAATAACAAGCTTTTTAAAAGACTGTTATAAATTGATAGTAAATAAATATTGGAACTAAAAAAGAAGAAAAATATGAAGGGTCTGTGTGCTTGTTTTCGAAATATAAGCCACTGAAAATTTGGCGGGAAATGATTTTCTCTAGATTTTTCATACATTTAACATTGGCACCTTTTTCTTTCAAAAAGTATGAAAAAATAACAAGGATTTTATAGGATTTTCAAATGTGGGTATCTTAACTATATGTAATAAAATTATGATAAGAAAAGCAAGGGTTAGCGGGCAAAATATACTCAGTCTTTAGTTTTCTATATTGTGTAGTGCGTGCTGTTGTTTGTCTGTTTGTCTTTTTCTATTTATAAGTCCATTTCAACTGGAAAAGAACTGTTTGAAGATCTTAATTTGGGACAATTTGTTATGAAAGGAGAAAATCTCCGGTAAGTTCGTTTATTTCGTTAACTGTTCAACTTGTAAGAATTTTAAACTAACTGCTGTACAAAACCACCATCAAGTCGTCAAGGTACAAGCTGATCAAATTAATCATAGTTACAACCCTATAAAGATTTTTTATTCCACTTTAATACGAAATACTACCAAAAAACAAACAACTGTATACAACATATACCATATAATCAAATGATAACGAAACACGAACACCTTACAAACGGGGTGGGGAGAGGTCTCAGGTGCTCCGGAAGGATAAACAAATCCTACAACATACTTATAAAATAAGTTATATCAAGTGATTAAATAGAACGCAATAGCGGATTGGTAATTGATCGAAATGATTCCATTTCCATTAGGGTTTGTTTGTTACCTTGCTTCGTCGTCTGAATCAATTTGTGAGATTTGAACTAGAGTGTGGCCTAAATTTATACATCTTTGGAATTCAATCTTTGGTGTTTGAGCGTTCCTGGTGATAGTAAATCTAGGGAAGCACTTCAGGCTCACTAAATTTATAACGTGAGTGGAAACAAACAAAATGAAGAGAACATACACTGGGCTTAAAAGCAAACAAGCAATATAGTCAAATTTTACGGAAAAAATGGACAACCCAAATAAAAGATAAAAGTGTTTGAAATTGTTTAACACACATCAGCATCAAAAACAGCGATCAAAAACGAAAGAAATAAAACAAAATAGTTTGACAAATTTTCGGACTTGATTCGACATTGGCCAAAAAACGTGTTGAGTATAAATGGCTACGAAAAAATTGTGCCAATATAACACAATTATACACTCTGCTCAATTGATTCAACAATATTTCTATTTAATGACAACAACATAAAATAGAAGATGTGGTGTGACTGTTAATGAGACAACTGTCAAACCGAGACTGACTGATTAAGATATTAGCAACTATATGTCACCGTATGGCCTTCAACACTGAATAAAACCCATTCTGAATAGCAAGCTATAAAAGGCCTCGACATTACAAAATGTAACTCAAGTCAAACTAGAAACCAACGACCTGTACAAGACAATAAACGACACACAACTAGAATATGAAACACAGCAATTAACGACCACCACTGAATTACAGTCTCCTGACTTGAGACAGGCACAATAAGAATGAGGCGGGGTTAAACTTTTTGCGAGAACCCAACCCTTCCTAAATTTTGACATGTTGTTTTCAAGTCAAATCAAATGATAACAACGTTAATTTGTAAATTTGATTAGACAGAAACAATGACAATGTCGCACGCTTTTCTAATTCAATATATTAATCAACGCTCCTTTTAACAATATTCTTACATTTAGGATGAACTTTTTTTGTACTATATTAAATCTATCCATTAAGAAGACATCTGAATGCAATACAGACTAAACCATAATTGTAATGTACACGTGTAGTATTTTGATATAATTTAGCCAAAAGGGTTGAGTAGTAAGAACTATACTAATGTTCCGTCCGTTTAGCTGTGCGGAATGTTGAAATCCACAGACAGATACGGACGTAATGGAGACGTTTAATCTAATACCCATTTTTGAAAAATGCAATAATCTCTACCTCAAAATAAAGCCTTTTCTAAACAATTATTGGCCCTCTCGTGACTTTTTTTAACGTAAAATATATGCCAAATTTTCTTCTCTGTTCACTCAAAATATCCCGCGCTTTCTCCTGGTTGATCAACCTTTAAGAAATTATTGAATTGATTATATATATTTGTTCACCCGAATATGCATGAAATATCTGTCTCTCGATGGAATTACGACCAATCAATTAACATTAATATCTGTTAAAGATATAAGTTACAGAAATAACTTTTATTCAAAATGAGACGAGAATACTAAAAAGTAAACAAAAGCAACAGATTCGCCGCAATATGCTAGAACAAAGAACAAGTCCCTGATAAAAACCTAACAAATAGACAATAGAAACAAAGTATTTTTAACTTTAAAAAGTGACGATTACCATTAATTTATCACATTTACTATCGTCATCCAGCTATATACAAATGCAAAACACCGAACAGACATCCTTTGTAAAGAATAATCTCGGCTCAATTTCTGTACAGAACAAAGAGTAACACTGGAACAAATTAAAATTTTCCCTAAATAATAATTTAACAGTGCTTAACTGTAATACATACATTCAAATGAAAAGAAACATTTGTTAAAGTGGAAGTAAAAATTTATTTCTCGCAAATATAACCTCCAAGTAAACCATTGGGTGCGCACCAGACAGCATGGAACCTATATCCTCTAGAGGCATAAAAGAACATACAATCTTGGGGTTTTTGAAATGTTCCATTTGGTTCTCCATTATCAAATGCAAAGTACGTGATCTTGGCCATCTCTCCGTCCTTCTTGATCCATCTCCAATCACCACCGGTCTTGTATCTATTGATGTTACGTCCGCCGATATAATAATGCACACCTTTGAAATAAAAATAAAACACAATTACAAGTACATAGCAGGTAATATGGATTTTGAAACAATCGCTTATGTTTAACAGAAAAAGTTCAATCCTAAAAATGTTTCGATTCCACATCAATTAGTGTTCAGACATTTTATTTGTAGTCAATTAAGATTTGTTTAAATAACTTCTCTTGCACTTTAGGAGTTAAGCACAGTTAAGAAACAAAAACTTTACGTTGTACACATTGGCTGATTTATCTAGAAACAATGGTTTCGAGTTAATTCGTTTACGGGAAAAAAACTTTATTTTAGACACCAGTGTGTTATTATCTACTGTTATCATAGAAATAACACTTCTAGTTCATAGATTCATTGCTTTCCATTTTTGAATCTGCAATTTCAAGCAGTTACAGCTATTTTGTCTTAAATTTTAATAAAGTGACAGTCATTTCATATCAACAAAATACCTTGGCTTATGCTGAAAAAATGAACATACCTTTCATTTGCATTTAAGAGCGCACTGGTTCTTGGAAGTTGGTAGCGTAAAAATATGTACTTCTGACTTTAGCAACAGGCAACATATGCTCTGATGTATCAGTTTCAATCTTTTTTTTTTATTTTTCGCAAAAAAAAACTTTCAACAAGTGTTCTACAGCAATCGCAAGTCCTTACGTTTTCATTTAATAAAAACATTACCCAAATGATATATATTATTCTTAAAGTAACAGCATTGCGTAGGAACTATTTTGTTGTTTTTTTAACGTAACTAATATATTTTATTGCACACTATTGCTGTTAACAATTTATTTAGTGTACAGCATTGCATTAAGTATCCCTGACATATTAGTTATTATGTATCCAGGGAGAATATCTAATAAGAGTAAGTTGATATTACATTACAATATTACAATATTTTAAATAATTTCATGTTTACAGGAGTATTCCATTTCTATCCGATAATGGTTTTTTATATTAGTTAATATACAGCGTGTAAACTTGCCATCATCATCTTTGATTTTAATGTTCTGGATTATTTTAACTGAATTCGAATAACTACGGAATATAATATTTAGACAAATTGTTCTTTGTTAACAGGTAAGTTGACAATAATCTTCTTGATTTTTGTATCATAAGCAAAGTTTGTACTTATTTGAACTTTGTGTGCAGTTCTGACTAAAATATAAACAAACTACTCAGGTAGACATGATTATACACAGCATCAGAATATACAACACAAAGTTACAATAAAAAAAAAAGATAAAGAAACAAAAAAGAAGAAAACAAAAAGTGTGTATTATACAATAATATATCTTTTAAACACGTGTTAGGTATGGGAAAGAACATTAAAGTCACCTGATCATGACATGCTCGCATCATGTGACTTCAGGGATATTGGTTGGGTATTATGTAAATATGTTTAAAGTTAAAACTTTAGTGATTGTTTTATGTAGTTGAGGGTTTTCATAATTAATTTGCTATTTTTTTCTTTTATTTTCTTTTTACGTTATTGACTGCAATAATATACTGTATTTCTGCTTTAAATATTTTAAAGGTATCTATTTTTGTTCTTCTTGACTCAGAGATATAATATGATTTATAGATAGAAAAAAATATTAGAGTCAAAAGGTAATTAATTTCATAGTAAGCTTCATCGTTTGTTTTATATCCTACTATAAGATTTTCCATATTTAGAATGGTTTCAGTGAAACCTAAGAAGTTAAGTAGGCTTTATATTTTTGATATAAAATTATATTTTGTTTACAATATGTACTACTTTCTTGTTTGGACAGGACCGAATTGATGGTTCTTTACCTATAACTAGCATAGATTCATGTACACTTCAAGGTATGTCCAGAAAGATATGTATTCCTAAACAGATAAGTGCTGAAATAATTAATCATTTAAATTATAAAAATTACCTGTATTCATTTTAAGGAGTTCGTACTTCATTAACATTGCTTCATTAAGAGTTTCAAAGTTCGCCAGGTATGCACCTCGTCGTAAGCATTTTGCCGGAAACCATAAAACATTTTGTGCAAAAAACGTTCGATATTTAACACAATATAAAATCGGTTAAT